GAAGTCACTGGTCAGATGTCTGGTCTCCTTATTCTCCAAACTTAACAGTGAGCATGGCCAGTATGTGACACATCTGGGCCGCAGGCCAGGAATTTGACAGCCTGGGTACCAATCCCCTCCCCCCATGATCATTTTTTTTTAATCTGCAAACTATAATAGGAAAATCAAACAAAGCCCTTCATTCACTGGCTCCTGTTGATCAAGTTAAAGTTGTAACTTTGTAAAGTTGTAATAGCCTATGGCAATAATTTGAAAATTATTGAAAAATAAGTTGGCTGTACTATATCTGGCCTACAAAAAGCCAATGCCCACTAGATAGCAGCCAATAGACACACAAAACTTTAAATCCTTGCTGTCATCCAATGATGTTACTTATTTGTATAGCTTATATGTTGTAGCCCTCATAAATGAATACATATTATGTAAGTGCAGTATCTCTCCTTTCCAAATATTAGTACTTAGTGCTAGTGGCAAAAACGACTTTATTTCTTATTTGTTTGTTGTATTCTAAATGTTGCTCAGCCTGCTTTTGCATGGATCAGTGGACATTGGTTACCTATTAACCTCCAGTCATCAATGCTAATTTAAAAAATAATTTTCTAGATCTCGGTGCAATTAAAGGCATACTTTTAGATTATGTAATAAACTAAGACCCACTACTTATGTAGTATAGCTATTAAAATATAATATTTCTCATGGAATTTAAATTACTTTTTGTAGCTGCCAATTCTTTACAAGAAGGATGCCTTTCATCTTAAATACCTGCAAGGAATGTGCAGTGTTGCTGTTGTTACAAGTTTGGTGGCATACCTTTGGGAACTTGTGCAAAAGCGACTCACCAAAGGACTACAACTATCCCTTTGGTACAGCCCTCACTGGTTTGGAATTTAACAAAATCTAAATTTGTTTGCCCTAAAACCTGGATGATAATGGGAATTTTTTAATGGAAGTTGTCGGATCACTAGTGTATAAATACTGTTTCACAAATTGTATAGTGTTGTCAACAGTAACATCAACATAAATCATAATAGCAAAAAGAGCATTAAAAATAAAATGTGAGATTTCCATTGACTGATGCCCAGAACACTTTGCAGAAACACAGTATGATAGGTTTTCTGTTTGTGTGAAATAATAATACAATATTTAAATAAAACAATAAAGGGGAAAAATTTAGAAATAATGATGCAGAATATTTGTCTTTCTATAAATAAGGGACAAAAAGGAGATTCACTTAATTTCAAAGAGCTTGTAATATTTATTGATATTTTCAGGCTTTTTGCTAATAGGTAAGAATGTTTACATAATATAATAGTAGAATGCTTGCTTCAAGTGCTTTATATGTGCTGACAGCAATTCTTAACAGTTACAATCATGTAAAAGGTAAAGATTTCCCTGTCCAGTTATGTCTGACTCTAGGATGCAGTGTTCATCTCTATTTCTTGGCCGAGAGACCCAGTGTTGTACAAAGACATTTTCTGTGGTCATGTGGCCAGCATGGCTATACGCCAAAGGTGCATGGAATCCAGTTACTTTCCCACTGAAGTGGTACCTATTAAACTACTTACATTTGCATGTTTTTGAACTGCTAGGTGGGCAGGAAAGGGAACTCATCCCATTGAGTGGTGCTCGGGTCTCAAACTCGGACTGTCAGTTTTCCAGCTGAAAAGCTCAGCATCTTTAATTGCTGAGTCATCACACCTCCCTATAGTCCTGTAAAGTCAGCCAAATATAATTTGTGTCTGAGGCTGATAACTAAAGGATCTGTATATGTGGTGAAAAATAGCTACCATGTAGTTAAAAAATTTAGAGTATACAGCTAGTCTCATTGAATTACTATTCATTTAGCAACCATTTGAAGTTATGAAGGTGCCGAATGAGGGGACTTATGATTGATTCTCAATAGTTGTGGCTATCGTAGGGGGCAATATGCTGACTCTGTAAACCACTTAGCTCTCTAAGTGGTTTACAGAGTCAGCATATTGTCCCTATGATAGCCACAACTATTGTAGTTATTATAGGCTGTAAAGCACTATAAAGTGGTATATAAATGCTACTGCTATTGCTATTCCTACTCTGGCCATATTATCATGATTCAGGCACTGGACAATTGGCTTACAATTATGACATTGCAGTAACTTGTAGTCATGTGTGATCACCAATTGCGACCTTCACTATTGGTTTCCAACAAGCAAGCTTAATGGAGAAGCTGGCAAGAAGTCACAAATAACAAACAAGATCATGGGACATTGCATGGGTATGATTGCATGGATCCATGACTGTATGGATATGCTTAATGATGGCAACAGGGATTATTGCAGTTGCCATCAAAATTTGCCACAATCACATGACATAACTGTGTTGCTTAGTGATGGTGTTGCTGGTCTCAATAATCATCATTATTGAGGACTATCAATACATTAAAACACTGCTATTAGGATTTTTCTCATCAAAACCCCCAATTAATGGTAATTCTGCTATAATCTCTCTCTCTCTCTCTCTCTCTCCCTCCCTCCCTCCCCTCATCTCTCATCTCTCTGTCTATCTCTCTATCTATCTCTTTTTCTTCATATGTTTGGGGAGGGAAACACGAGACTGAGCAAATAATAATGATAGCCTGATCATTCAACTACCAGCAACTTGAACATGGATTTTTACTAGGTGAACTAGAATCCAGTTCTTTGGAAGGATTAAGTGCCCTCCTTTATTAACAGCTTTTATACAAACACAAATATAGAAGAGTTGAAATGTTAACAAAATAATTAAATAGTCATAAAATATATATTAAAAATACACACTGAATGTTTACACTGTTCAGAATGAGTTTTGTTTTTTGTTTTTCCATCTTAAATAGTCTGGAATTTGAATTTAACTGTGGAAGAATCTTTAAAAGACACACATCCCATCCTATTCCTTTTTTTAAGAGCTTAAAATGAGTATTAAGAGTTTCTTTTGAATATTGTGCTTATTTAAAATAGCAATAAATAGAAAATCTAAGTATATTTATAATACATTTCATCTTCATTATCAGGAATTAGAATACAGGACTATCAATAATTATGAGAAATTGTTTTGGATAATGTCATTTAATAAACTGATCAATAGATCTTCAATTATTTTTAAGCATAATATATTTAACTGAATTCTGTTACTTGAATTTATGATTTACTCCCTCTTGTGGAATAACTGAAGTGTAGCAAAGATGTTTCAGAACTGACTCATTCATAAACACGTAAGATCAGAGCTGGTCATTTGACATTGTTTAAACATCTTATATCCATCAGTAGCCAATCAGTAGCCATCTTGTAGCAACTTCCAATTTTCTTTACAGCAGTTATACATTGCATTTATATTTTATTCTTTCTCTCTACAGCTGTATCATGGCTCCCCTCTTTCCATATCCTATCCTTTCTAATTGTGAAACCCATAAATTACAAGTTCTTTTTTTCCATTTTCAGACAAAAATCCATGAAGGATTTCCAGTCACTGATAAATATATTTGTTATCTTTTCCCTAATCAAGCAAGTCAGTTTAGCCATTTTTACAAATTCTGTCCTCTTCATTAACTTTCTTTACATGTATTTCAGAGTTTTTCTTTGTTTGTGGGTATAATATTTTGCTGCAGTACCATTTTCAAAGAATGAAGTACAAGTTACTGTATATTGTTATTGTTTAGAAATTTATTTCAAAAAGAAAAACTTGGAGAAGAAAAACCAGGAAATTGGAGTACACGAATTGTATGTGTATTTGCATAAGAATTCTTAAATTTGTTCTTATATCTTTGCTCACAGGTTGAACAGGCCAGTCCTAGTAAGTGCTGGAGCTTATTCTCGGACTCTTTTCTATTCTCACAGGTAGTAAAAGTTTACAGTGAAGATCATACCTGCTGCTCTTTGGAAATCACAGCAGGGACCACGGCCCGTCATGTTTGTGAGATGCTGGTGCAGAAAACTCATTCTTTGCATGATGACTGCTGGTCTTTGGTAGAGGTCTATCATCACTTATCTCTAGGTGAGGAGGAAAAGAAAGAAAGTCCAGACCGCGAGTATACATGTGCATGCATTCATACCCACAAACACACCTTCGGTCAGATATAGCCATCACTCTTCACGCTGCTCTGACTCATCTAGAACAGGGGCTCTGTGAGGATGCTTTTTGTAGATTTTAGTTCTGCATTTCACACAATTCTTCCACATAGACTAGTGTCTGAACTTCTAGACCTTGGGCTTTCTAATTCAGTCTGCCTTTGGATTATGGATTTCCTGTCTGGCCGCTCATAGAGGGTCAGATTAGGTAATCATACCTCTTCAGCCCTTATTCTTAACACTGGTACACCACAGGGTTGCGTGTTGCTCTGTACTCTTTATACGTTATACTTTACTCTATATTCTTTACATGCGTGACTGCATTCCCACTCACACTAGTAATACTATTAGTAAATTTGCAGATGATACAACATTGGTGGGACTTATCTCTGGGGGGGGGGGGGATGAGTCTGCCTACCGAGATGAGGTGGACCGGTTGCTTTTGTGGTGTGGAGACAATAACCTGGTCCTCAACACTAGTAAGACCAAGGAGCTTATAGTGGACTATAGAAGGAACTGATCAGACATCCAGCCCTTGCTTATCAATGGAGACCGAGTGAAGCAAGTGGCCAGTTTTTAAGTTTCTGGGTGTTACCATAAAAGAGGACCTGACCTGGGGTGCTCCCATTGAAGCACTGGTCAGAAGGACCCAGCAGAGATTATACTACCTGAGACTTCTCAGAAAACAACATCTGAATGAAAAACTGCTGCGTTCTACCATAGACAATATCTTAACTGACTGCACCTGTGTATGGTTTGCCAATTGCACAGTGGCAGATAGGAAAGCACTCCAGAGGGTTAACGTCATTGTCCAGAACGTCATTGGTTGCCTTCTCCCCTCTTTGGAAGAGCTTTATAGCTCCCACTGCCTTAAGAAAGTTCAAAACATTCTCAAAGATCCATCTCATCCTGGACACCCTTTTTTTGGACTATTACCATCTGGCAGACGGTACAGAATAATATAAACAAGCACAAATAGGCTGAAAAACAGCTTCTATCCCAGGGCAATATCTCTTTTGAATTCTGCTGTATAGTGCAGTGTTGGTGCAGTGATGGGGGTTTTCGGTTCAATGTGTGGAGTGTGAAGGATGTGTATCTGTGTTTATTTTCATGGTCATGGTCATGATGTGCACTGAAGATGGTGTTTGATTTTGTGGTGCAATGACTAAACTAAATATATCCAGAAACGTTTTTACAAATAAAAACGAACTTTTTGCAATGAGAAGCAAAGACGCTCAAGTGTTCCCCATTTTGGGGGCCTAGTTCTCACATAGGTTGGTCCCATGTAAAAGAATGCTTCACCATATAAAATAATTCCTAGAATATAAATAATTAGAATATAAAGGAGTAGAATTTATCTATTTTTTATGTAAAAGAAATCAAAACTCCTATGTAATTCCCCTACCTGAATCTAAAATGTTCAGAGACTGGGGAAAATTAGGTTACAAAGTGGGATCAGATAATTGAACATGATGGCTAACAGATTTTTCCAGTTGCTTGTCTGTATGCATCTAGCATTTTAAAAGACCCGCTGAATGTAGATATGATGTTAACATAGTGTGTTTCATTCTCCCATTGTTTTCTCTAGAACGGATCTTAGAAGACCATGAGTCTGTGGTAGAGGTTCAGGCCACATGGCCTGTGGGAGGTGATAGTCGATTTGTCTTCCGGAAGAATTATGCTAAATATGAGCTGTTCAAGAGCTCACCAGTAAGTTGGAACAACTTTAAAAGTAGCAACAAACGTCATTTTAATCCTGTGATTTGCAGTTATTTCATTTTTAAACAATACCAAATTTCAGGAATGAAATAGTGTTCCCTGATGCTATTGTAAAAATTCTGTATTTCACATCTCTAATGTTAACCCCCCAAAATAATGATTCCCACAATGTGGTCGATAGATCACCAGTCATCCATAACTGCTTGCCTTGTAACACCGTTAGTTGGAGAAAAGGGGCGTTGGTCCTACCTGAATGCTTCTTCTCGGGCAGCCGAAGGGAGAATCCAGGATGGGTAGTCTCTAGTCTCCTAGCTCTGCAGACCGAGTTGAAAAACTGAGGACACACCCCCTGGTAACGGTCCCCAGTTCTGAACGATGTTGAAGCAAATTCAGCTGCTCCTTGTCTTCAAACAGATAGTTTATTGATACTGCAAAAAAAGGGACATTTCCTCCCTATTCTGACCAGACAGAATACAGGGTGGGACTGGATTCTCCCTTCAGCTCCCTGAGAAGAAGCGTTCAGGTAGGACCAATGCCCCTTCTCCACTGAGCCGAAGGGAGAACCCAGGATGGGACATACCAAAGCTGGCTGATGGCTGTCCTACAGGTGGGAGCTCGAGGTCCCCACTTCTACATGCACACCCTGCAGGACTCGTCTTCCAAAGGACGCCTCCGCTGAGGCAAAGGAGTCAATTTTGTAATGCCTTATGAATGGAGTCACTGATGACCAGGTCGCAGCTCTACAAATGTCCAGAATCGATGCCTGCGTTGCCCAGGCTACGGTGGTTGCTGCACTTCTGGTTGAGTGCTGTGATCCTCCTGGGCACAGGAAGGCTCTGTAACTCATAGGCCCTTGCAATGCAGGCTCTGAGCCAGCGACCTACTGTGGAAGGTGTCACCCTGAGACCTAAAGTTGACAGCTGAAAGGAAACAAGACTTCCGTCCTCCTAAAAGAAGAAGTTCCTTTAATGTAAATACGGAGGGCCCTCCTAACGTCCAAGGTGTGCCATTTTTTCTCTAGTGCATGGGTAGGCTCAGGGCAGAAATTAGGCAAAATCAACTCCTGTGAACGATGGAATAAGGAGTTCACCTTGGGCAGGAAGGTAGGGTCCAACCGCAGAACCACCCTGTCTGCATGGAATACACACAGATCCTGCCTGATGGATAAGGCGGCCAACTCCGAAATATGCCTGGCCGAGGTAATGGCTACCAAGAATGACACTTTGCACGTGAGAAGGCGAAGGCAGACTTCACGTAAAGGTTCAAATGGGGGAGAAGTTAGTGCCTGCAGGACCTTAGGCAAATCCCAGGTGGGGTAGCGGTGGCCTCAGATTCATGGCTCCCCTAAGGAAGACCCTAGGGTGTTGGGCCAGAGAAATAGAGCCCTTGACTGAAATCACTGAGGCCAAGGCAGCCACCTGTCTCTTCAAGGAATTGGGGGCGAGACCTTTATCCAACCCGTCCTGCAGGAACTCTAATACCTTTGCAACAGAAACCCCAGTGGGTTCCAATTGGTGACAAGCGCACCAACTGCAGAAAATCTTCTGCAGTTGCTATCCTGGTCATGGAAGGTCTTCTGGCTGCCTGGATGGTCTGAATGACCTTTGTGGAAAACTTCTCCCATTTCAGGATTCCCCCGCTCAAGCGCCAGAAGGTCAACCGAAACCAGGCTGGATCTGCGTGCTCAATCGGGCCCTGGCTGAAGGAGATCTTGTGCAGAGGAATTCTCCAGGGTCTGGTGACTGACAGGCCATCAGGTCGGCGAACCAAGGACGCCTGGGCCAGTAAGGGGCTACCAACAGAACTTCCGCCCTTTCTATCAGTACTTTCCTGATTGCCCCTGGAATCAGGGGAAGGGGTGGAAGGCATACAATAGTCCCTGGGCCACCTGCACCAGAGAGCGTTGACCCTTTCTGCTCCTCAGGCAGGGAATCGAGCAAAGAACCTCGGGAGGTGCGTGTTCTCTGGTGATGCAAAGAGATCCAGAATCGGGCAGCTGAAGCGTTCCGTCATCTCCTGGAATAGACTGGGATTCAGTCGCCATTCTGACTGGTTGACTGTGGCCCTGCTCAACCAGTCTGCTTGCACGTTGGATACTCCCGAGATATGTTCTGCTCATAGGGACAACAGGTTTCTCTCCGCCCACCTGCACAATTGAGTTGCTTCCAGCATTAGAGATCTGGAGCGTGTGCCCCCCTGCCAGTTTATGTGGGCCTTGGTAGCCACATTGTCCATGAGGAGAAGCACATGTCTCCCCACCACCTCTTGCCTTAGATCCTTGAGCGCTAAGTGGGCAGCCCTGAGCTCTAGCCAATTTATGTTGTGGGTGAGCTCCTCTCGTGACCACCTCCCCTGGGTGACCTGGACTCCCAAGTGGGTCCCCCAACCATAGAGACTGGCGTTGGTGGTAATGGTAATCCTCTGGGGTTCCCTGTACAAGCATCCCTGAACTAGGGCTCGGGACTGCCACCAATGGAGGGAACGAAGAACTGGCAAGGGGACGTGAACCTCCTTGGAGAGTTGCCCCTGCTCGCCCTCTGGTAAGGGAGCAAGAACCACTGAAGTGTTCGGGCATGGAAGCGGGCCCATGGGACAATCCCGATACACTATATCATCTTGCCAAGAAGTTGAGACAGCAAGATGATAGGTGCCTCTCTGGAAGACAGGATCAGCGACGTGACTTCCCTGATACTGTCTCAACGCTCCTGTGAGAGAAAAACCTGTCCAGCCAAGGTGTCTATAATGGCCCCCAAATGCAAGATCCGAGTAGATGGTACTAGGTGGCATTTGTCCAGGTTTATCGAGAACCCATGCTCTCAAAGAATCCTGATTTGTCGACATCAGATCCTCCTCTGCCTGGGGTCTGGAAGAGGATGCTATCAGGATGTTGTCCAAATAGCATTGGATCCTTATGGGTAAGGTTCTGAGGTGTGCCGCTACCACTGCCAAGAGCTTGGTAAAAGTCTGAAGGGCTGATGACGGGCCGAACGGAAGAGCCCTGTATTGAAAATGGTGGCCACCATAGCAAAACCTCAGGAACTGACGGTGGTTGGGGTGTATGGGCACATGGAGATAGGCCTCCATCAAGTCTACCGAGGCCAAAAAATCTCCCTCCTGCAGTCCCTCTAGAATGGAGTGGAGGGAGTGCATCTTGAACCTTCGGTAGATTAGATGTCTGTTGAGCCCTTTCAGGTTGAGGATTGCTCGTCACCCTCCGAGGCCTTTGGAATCACAAACAACATTGAATAGAAACCCTGTCTCTCCTGGTTCACTGGAACCGGCTGGATGGCCCGAATGTTCAGCAGATGGTGGATCGCTGATTCCATGAGATCCCTCATTGAGAGGTCCCTGGACATGGGGCAGCACACAAAGGCTCTTGGGGGGGGGGGAGAGAAACTCTAGAGAGAGACCTGACCGTAAGGTTGACAGGATCCAAACGTCCATTGTGGTCTGTTCCCACCTCTGCCAGAACAGTCCCAGATGGCCCCCTATGGGGGATGAGGCTCGGGCATCACTTGTTGCGCCTGAATGGTCTGTTGGAACCCCTAAAGGACCTTCTGCCCTCTTGCCTCTGATGCCCTCTGGCGGCAAAGGCCTGTCTATCGGCCTGAGAAGAGGATCTCTGGAAAAAGGGCCTACTTTGACGGGGAAAGCCTGCCCCAGCTTCCCCCGTTTAAAGGAGGGCTTCCTGTAGTAGGGATGAGACCTGTAATCTAAGTGCCTCTCCTGGGAGGGCAGGATCTTTTGCTTGTCCCTGGTTTCTGTCAAAAAGGGATCCAGGGCTTCCCCAAAAAGCCTCTCTCCCTTAAAGGGAGCCGACACCAGCTTCCATTTGGTTCTGACTTCCATCTGCCAATTTCTTAGCCAGAGAAGCCTGCGTGCTGTTATGGAAGAGGCCATGGCTCTGGAAGAAAATTTGGCTGACGTGAGGGTGGCATCAGCAGTTAATTGAGCTGCAGCTATAATCTTATTCAGGTCCTGATGCACCCTGAGATCCTCAGGTGGGATTATGTCCTGTAGCTGCCTCAGCCACTGCAAAGAGGCCCGAGTAAAAAAAAAGATGTGGTTGTCAATGCTCTGATGGCCCAGGAGATGGCATGATGAGCTCTCCGGAGCACCATCTCCTCCTTCTGGTCCTCTGTCTTTAGAACATCCTCCACATCAGGTGGAATGACAGATGAGGAAGCTAGGGCTACCACTGGGGCGAGTGTACATCCCAGGGGACTCCCACTGCTTTTTGACCAGGTTCAGAAACATCTGGGGCACAGGTACAGCATCCACCACAGATGCTTTCTCAGTGAACAGGAAATCCTCCTGATCTTTCTCCCTCAGTGGGAAGGTCCTGGGTGACCGTGTCCTTTTTGAGATGAGCCATGCTCTTGGCCGTAACCAGCAGAGTCTTGAAAAGAGCCAGCTGGAAAAGGCCCTTCAAGGAGGGGGGGGACCTGCTACCTCCGACTCCACATCCGAAAAATCCCTTTCTGGAAGGAGGTCCCTTTCGGAGCCATAAATTTGGCTGCTTTCTGAAGCGGAGGCCGAGCACTCTCTGAAGTGGACCGGCTATTCAGCAGAAGCCTGCCCCTGCCCCTGCAGGACTCCTCTGCTAGGTTCCAAATAAGACAGCTGGCGCAGCTGGTTGACCTCTGCCTGCAATTCCTGTCTTATTGTCTGGGAGATCCAGGCTCTCATGAAGGATGGCATTTCTTGCATCTGGGTCTCCTCCGGTCGTAAGCCAGCTGCTGAAGGTGTAAAGGTGGCTGCAGGCACAGATCTGGCTCCACTGGAGACTTGGTCTGCAGGTGGCACCATCAAGATCCCCTGTGGTGGCTCAGAAAAATTGTGAGAGGTCTCAGCCCTGATTTGGAGGTTACCCTGCAAATCGTGGGTAATTGAGCCCCCAGAAGACCAGGCCGTCATATACTGCCTATCTACCAGTTGGTCTGGCTGCCTGTTATCTTGAGGAGGTAAAGTTTGAGGGGTTGCTCTGTATTCAGCCATCCTGGAATCTCTCACTGCCCTGTCAAACTGTTTGTCTATGGCTTTTTGTCTACGCCTGGCCTGTCTATCCTCAGCCCTAGAGGATCCCTTAGGGGCTAGAGCCCTGGCTCTAATCCTAGCTGCTGCCTCCAGACCAGCAGACCTGGGCTTGGGGGATCCCTTTACAGCCTCCTCTCTACCCTGCTGAGGAACTGACAATTCTTGATCAGCTCCCTTGGTGGCTATCTTTGAGCCCGCCAAAAATAACTGTCACTTGACAGGGGTAGAGAAAGGGAGAAAGAAGTAAAAATAAAATAAAATAAAAAATATTCCGCCTAAGCTGTCAGCTACAGCTACAGTAGCTGTCCACCACTTCAGGAGGCTAGTGCGACCCAAAGTGGTGAGCTCAGCCAAGCTCCGCAATTCAAAAGCCGAGTCAAGGAAAAAAAGTTGAAAAAACGGCTGCCTCTTTGAATTGCAGCAAGCCCTGACGGGCTGGCGCTGGCTGCACCGCAATTATCAGGCAGACTCAAGTGTCTCGCAGCTGCCACGGTGCTCTGGGGACTGGATGGGGGGGTCAGGATTTAATCCCAATGGCCAGAACCCCCCCAAGGGACAATCCTGGAGATGAACTGCAAGATTGTCCCTAAACTAAATAAATGGCCGCTGCCACCAAAAAGGGACAGAAGCGCTTAGTGCCAGCTGCGGCTCGTCCCAGGCAAGGGAAAGTGGATCGGGAGGAGGCGAGTTAAATAAGACACTGACTCCCACTCCAGCCCGGGCCACACGGGCTCTCAGGGTCACCTCCACTCAAATTTTGACAGAAAACAAAACAAAAACCAGTCCACCAGCAAGAAAAGTCAAAAATTAAATTAACAAGCAAAAAAAGACGAACCGGAAAAAAGGCGCGAAAAAATGAAAGTGCTAAACCGGCAAGCCGGCTAGCTGTCAAACCTGATCTAAGCAGGGGGTGAATATTCTTCTACAATCCTAACTATTCAGAGCCCTTAAAGGGTAGTCTGAACACGCTGAGACTGAGTGAAGAACTGGGGACCGTTACCAGGGAGTGTGTCTTCAGTTTTTCAACTTGGTCTGCAGAGCTAGGAGACTAGAGACTACCCATCCTGGATTCTCCCTTTGGCTCAGTGGAGAATAGATCAGTATAGAAACAGAAAACTGGTTCATTGAAGCAAAGAAGTGATAATAATACAAGCAACATGTGTACTATATTATAGCAAATTTATTTACCTCCTCCCCCAAAGTGAGCTTCTGTGTTATTAAAGTACAAACTGCTGTGAAGGACTTGTTTGTTTCATTGGGCAGTGCTCATACTTTAAAAAGTATGATTGTCCATGATTGAAGAAAATTTGAGAAGCATGATTTTGAAAATATTCTTTCTACAGAAACTGTTGTTGTCTAGCTTTTATACTTTATGATTAAATATATGCCTCAGAAAATCATTAACTGGCTAAGATGGCAATCTAATTTAATAATGATCCCTTTTATATTAGGTATTGGAATAATTATATTAGGTATTGGAATAATTATAGAGAGACAGTTTGATTGATGTATTGGTTAAGGCACCAGGATAAAAACCAGGAGACTGCAAGTTATAGTCTCTTTAGGTACAAAGCCAGCTGGGTGACATTGGACCAGTCATACAAAGGACGAAGGCAATGGTAAATCACTTCTGAAAAAAATGGCAAGAAAATTGCAGGGACTGGTCCAGGTAGTGAACAGGAATCAATATTAATCCAAAAATACCCAACTCCCCCAAAAAGAGTAAACATAAAATAACTTTTGTGGAAACTTGAAAGCCAAATTTTTACAATTTTAGTAGGGGTTTACAATACAAATATAAGCGCAATAAAATTTAAAAAAATCTAAAAATAAATCCACATTATAGCACTCAGACCACTTTTTCCCTTTGGTATTAAAACAGTATGTTTAAGAACACCATGATACAGTATATGACAGCCCAAATTCATGACATTGTTCTGCTTTCCTTTCTTGCCCATAGCAATCAATATTTCCTGAAGTTATGGTTTCCAGATGTCAGGATGCAGCTAATAAAGGCATGTCCCACCTAGAACTCATACAGGTAATTTTCTTTTTCCTTTACCTAAGAAACAAGTAATCATTTTTGTGCTAGGGATTACACTTATACATAGTGTGTGTGTGTGTCTATGCATTCATGTATTTTTGTGCATATATCTTCAGAAGCTTCTGTTTATGTGTGCATGCACATATTTATATTTATTAGGCTTAATGCTGCACAATCATAAGTGACTCTGAATAGCTTATAGATCTAGTAGTAAGATTATATAGATCAGTAATAAGATTAAAACAATATTAAAAAGAAATTCTACAAATATTCACTCTGGGGATGAGACAAAGACTCTTCAAATCCCAAAGGCTTGTTAAAATATAAATCACAGGATGTGTGATTGTGATTTGGTGATAATCACTGAGGAGAGATGTGCTCGTCTTTGGTTGACTATTTTTGCTCTGGGGTCTTTGGTTATGTAAAACAGACATTTTGACATTCGACATTTCGGCAACATTTCCCCCTCTTCAAAAATCATGCTACCAAATGTCAGTTTTGACAGTTTGTCACTGTTCTGTATTCTGTACAGTGGTAGGTTTGTCTTCTGTACAGATGCAGATAGATAAACTCAACAAAACATCCAAAACAAAGTACTTTTATTGGTTCATTAGGTATCCTCATAACTCACATTTGTGATGAAGTTCTTCTTTAATGACCAATCCTTTGCATATCTGCCTTGTAGGTAAAAAGATGGTTCTCTCCTATCCTTTTTCCCCTCATCTCGTAGCGATAGAAGTAGAATAGTTACCACGAGTCAGTGAATTCAGCCAAGAGTGAGGAAAACTCCTCTAACCCATGGAGGGTCAATTTTGTGACCAATCAGGATTACAGATGTGGTCACGTGACATGGACTACATTTCCCAGGATACCTTAACTAATTTTACCATGATACATTCCCTTAAGGGGACAGCTCACAATTGCTACCTAACTAATCCAATTCCCATACACTGGCTGGACAGCACAGTCACACATTTACAAGAAAAAAATATTTGCAATCCAGGATGTGCAAAAAGGGAACTTGGGTCATTCCTGCTTTACTCATTCAGTTTTTTTCAGTTCCCCTATCATTCAAAAGGAGAAAACAGAGCTCTTGGATGCTTTGATACAGAAACTAGTTACTGGCACTTTATATTGGACAGGAAACAGCCAGAAATTTGCACTATAAGTTATATCACCTTAGTTATTTACCCATTACGAAAGGAAGGAATATACTATATCTGTAAAATTTTGCACAATATGAATAAAATGTTCAAAACTTTTATTGTAAAAGTTATTTATTCATTGGCAACCAATTCTAGCCAGAGAAGGAATATATTTCTCCATACAGTATGCAATTAGGTTAATTGCCTTAATTTTGGATGGCTTTAAAAACAGTAGACAGATTCATAAAGGACAAGAGTTTTCCAGAAATTACTTAATACTGTGTAAATATATTTGTTTCCTATATTTTTCATTTTTAAAATGTCACTTGAATTTAAACTATGTCAACTTTTTATGGCTGGATTTTCTGCTTTTTGTTGCTGGAAGGTACTTGTTTAAAAATTAAGTATACCTGTTGGTCTCTGGGATGTGGTAATGATTTCTGGAAGTTTGGAGAGAGTTTAAAAGGTGAAAGGAGGCTTCAGACATACATTTTGCCCTGTAATTCCCCCTCTGCATCCATTACCAATCTCTGGAAAAACCTAGGGCTGCTATATGTGGTCCATAAAAATCCATATGACCGCTAAATATTGGCGGATTTCCTGCCATCAGATAGTCAAGTAAATTTTCATAGTTCAGATATGATAGTTCTGTGTTTTGTTTTTAAATGAGGCAGAATAGATCTAACCAACCATATTATCCCAAACCTGCATTATTACAAGCAAGTTGTGATGATAACATGACTTGGGATGCTTGGGATGGGGGGCACAGAATGAATAACAGATCACATGAGAATACAGGTTGTGTACACCTGGATTTTCAAAATATATAATACATCTTTTTTTTTCTTTTTTTTTGCTCTATCCCTGGTGAAATAACATTCATACCTTGGTATTCAACTGCTTCAAAACTTGTTGAATTTGGTACTCAGCGCGTTTTGAAGAGAAAATCTTGCCATGGGGCTCATTTTTCTCCCAGTATTTGACACACAGTAGAACTTGCTGATGTTGGCTGCCTCATAACTTGCTACTCCTTCCTGTTGAAATAAAAGGTCATGTGGTAAATCACATGGTTTGCTTGGTACTCATCATTTTTAGTAGTTGTTGCTCTGCCCAGAATGAATTAGCATTGAATACCAAGTTACCACTGTAGGTTTTTTTGACAACCAAAACATCTTTTAAGGAGTTTTAAGGAGAAAATACAACAACTACACTCTCTGTGTCAAGAGTACCAATGATATTACCTAGTTTGGCTATGAAACATTTACAAGAAGAAAACTAAGCTCAGCAAACAGCAGGATGTCAACAAGTACTTTAGAAATATGAAAATTTCATATTCCCAGGTTTGCATGCTATAAATTTATATCATGCAACACAGAACTTCCATAATTTTCCCTCCTCCCATAATTCCCCCCATTCAAAAAGAAGCAATTCAAGCCATTATCAAGGAAAACTACCAGTAAATTTGTAATGCAGCCTGAATCTTTAATTCCATTTTTCTCCCAGAATGTTCTAAATTCAGGAAGCTGTCCTGAAATTCAAGGATTCTTGCATCTGAAGGAAGTTGGGCGCAAAGCCTGGAAAAGATTTTACTTTTCTCTGCGGCGTTCTGGGCTCTATTACTCAACAAAAGGCATGTCAAAAGTAAGTTTGTGAGTGCAAGATATAATGGAAGAATCCCTTGGTTTTTTTCGCTATGGATAACAGTTCTGAGTGTGTCTTGCAACAGTTTTCCCAGAAAGAAAAACAGCAGTCAAGATTAATCAACAGCAACATTTATAATAATGATGTTTGTGTGAAGTTTGACAGCAGAATCTGGTGATCTGGGACTTGGTATATCCAAGTGGAAACTGTCATACAAATCAGAGACTAAAGGAAGTAAAATTTATGCTTCCCAAATATTATGGATTTCTAGAATTCACTGGATATAAAATATGTTTAAGCCCAAATAAAATAACATCGATAATAACTTTCATCTTTGATAATAATACATTTCTCTTCAGCTTCTCAGTAATCCTTATAACCCTGTTTGAAGTAATTGATATTATTGTTCCCACATCTCTAAAATCAACTGGTGAATTCAAAGGAACTGGTGAACGTTTCTTGACTGCCGTGCTGTGTCTGTTCAGAAATTAAAAACTTGTATGTGTTATGGACATGTGCACATTTTCTTCTTTTATTTAGGGAACTCAGATGGGAACTGCACAAAATATAGTCCTCCTGGTCCATAATTTTTTTATTTTTTTAGTAGTTATGAAAGCTACTTTTTTCTGGACAAAGAAAAAATCTTTTAATTTAGTAGGATACTGAGTTTTGCATCAGATATTAAATTCAGTTCTTGGCCATATCTAATCGTGCATAGGTAGAATATACAGAATATATCTAAAACCCCAGATTCAACTGGTATGAAGTAAAATCTCATTTGTTAATATATATCTATATATATTATATTTTCTTGCCTCCCTTATGCTAGGACCCCCGGCATTTACAATATTGTGTTGACATAAATGAATCAGTCATTTATTATATAAGCCAAGGCAAAAAACAATATCACACGCCCACCGAGTATGGCTTTTGTATCAAGGTAAGACAAGTGAGAATTAATCTTGGGTTCATTCCACCTTTAATCTCTTTAATTTCCCTTTAACTTTAATTTTAAATTATCAGGTTCATTTAAAATACCCATAGAATTAAATATTCAGGTTCAGGTAAAATATACAATGAGTATTGTTCTTCAATTGGTAGATCAATCTATGACCCTAACTTTAACCTTTGATTCTCTTAGAAGTTGTGGTTTATAATTTTTAAAAAAATATTTTGAGGGTTCTTAATTTAATTCTTGGAACGTGGTAGCTCAGTGGCTAAGATGCTGAGGTTGTCGATCAGAAAGGTCGGCAGTTCGGCGGTTCAAATCCCTAGTGATCTGCCATTAATTGTCCCAGCTTCTGCTAACCTAGCAGTTTGAAAACATGTAAAAATGCAAGTAGAAAAATAGGGACCACTTTGGTGGGAAGGTAACAGCGTTCCGTGTGCCTTTTGCATTTAGTCATGCCAATACATAACCATGGAGACATTTTCGGATAGCTCTGGCTCTTCAGCTTTGTAATGGAGATGAGCACCGCCCCCTAGAGCCAGAAATGACTAGCATGTATGTGTGAGGGGAACTTTTATCTTTACCTAATTTAACTCTCAATATCCAAGTAACTATATTTTATTAATGTACTATTATTGAGCCTAGAGGGGCAGGAATTTTTTTTAAAATAATAATAATAATTTTGTTTTAATGTTTCATTCTGTTTTTAGTATCTAAAGGCTTGCTTTTAAACCTTTTTACACAGTTTGCATATCTATTTTATCTTTTCAATTGGTTTTTAATTTTTTTGTATTTTAATCCTGGGCCCAAACTCAGGAAGAGTTGCAATAAGCATCCACTCTGAAGTTTGAACTGGGAATAACTTAATTTTCCTGACAAGCCCAATATGAAAAGAATAGAACTACCATTATTTAAAGGTTGATGAAAATAAACAAACTCAGAAAAAGTAAAGCAAGAGCATATGGATATGTATTTTGGGCATTTGAGATCCTGATTTTGATACATTACTCAATTTTCTTAAATGTTTTATTCCATATGGGAAGAATCTTGATTTAGGATGATGATTCCCGAGTCAAGATACCTCTAAAGCAGGAGGCTTAATGATAATTGAGACCAAGCTCATGTAAAAAATTTTCAGATGTGGAAGAGGAAAGTCTTGCCAGAGTTGTCATGTTGTGGGCATTCTTAATCAGTTTTCCCTTTCTCTTAAAGCCACATAAGGCACGCAGTGGAGTCAAAGGACTGAAGCTATTTTGCTGTGAAGATGAACAAAGTCGCACATGCTGGATGGCTGCCTTTCGTCTCTTTAAGGTGAGAGCCATTCAGTTTGGCACTGGAAATAATAGGAAATTTCTTTCAATGTAAATAGGAAACCATCTTCCTCCAAATAGGAAGGAAAGAGAACACCCTCTTCCTCCTTATTGCAACCTGGCCTCAAAAATTGAATTTTTCCTTTTTCAAAAGATTGCATTTCAGTAACATTTAGCTTGACATGAGATTTTCAGCTCTGACCACACCATCCTTCAAATCTTGTCTGCTGTATTGCTATATTGCTGATCTCCAACTGCATTTGGGAGCTTTTAATAATTTGCATGGTCTCAATACTATGCTTTATAGAGAAAAGATAGTTTACTATGGTAGTACTGTACATATTGTCAAACTTGCCACTTTCAGGCATAGAAAGCTGTTACATGGGCTGGAGTTGCTCTCTCTATATTAACAACTATTAATCTTTCCTCAGTACGGCATACAGCTCTACAGAAACTATCAGCAATGTCAGACACGCCAAAAGGAACCAGCTTGGTTTGGCACTGTGCCCCTAGTAAGTAATCTGATAACAAATTAGTTGTTTTTATTATTTGGGTGAACATTTTGATAGCTTATGGAGGTGTAGACATTTTAGAAATACTTTCATCTTATAAGCATATATCTCCTGAGAGGATAAAACTCTTTCTGGAGTTAATTTTAAATGGGAAAATTTTCTGCAGATAATTTCACCCACCCACTTCCTGTTAAGCAAAATGGTCACTATGTAAAAAAGGAACCAAGATAAAAACACACTGCAAACCAGCACAATGGTTGTTGCACTCTCATTCAGATAAAGTTGTCTCTATGCCATTATCATTCTTACTCCTGTGTGCGATATTGCCAGGACATGAAATTTAATCATAAACACATGCATTGGTCAAAATTTAGTTTCTTATTATTGTCATAATAAATAGTGTAATAAATTTCATTTTACTATGGTCACTAACCAAGATAGCCACTAAATGAGAATGGTTCTACTTCACCAGATTGCAACCATATTACTTCTGCTCAGTTTCCTGTACAATTCAGCTCTAATCAACATGTTAGGGTTTTTTTTTAAAAAAAAAAAAAACATAAACATATAAATACTATTCTATAAATGGATAACATTCATTTTAAGAATAAAGAAGGACAAAATTGAGAGAGTTTCCAAACAAATTGCAAAACCAAATTTACCCAGAGGAACCTTTATAATTACTGCTTTATATTTTATTCATGTCTTTGTGCTGAGAAAGTTTACATATGAGGCTCTGTTGGAAGGAAATTTTACACTGGAATAAGAACTTTAGTTTGGGATTTAAAACATTTTCTTTCAGATATTATGATTTTGATTTTTGATGTACATCGTGCTATATATTCATCTTCTTGTCTATCACATTTTTATATTTAATTTTTTTAGAGATCTATCTATTGTTTATCCCTTTATAGCTCCAGGTAGTTTACAAGCAGTCTAGTAGACAATTCATTTACATAGTTATTAAAAGATAGAAGAAATAAAAATACCTGAATAAATTTTTTTTAAATTCCCTCCCAAATTGTAGCCATTAGGAAACTTGTATAAATACCCTAGTAGTTTATGAGGGTGAAGGTTCGTTCTCTGAGCTTGGTGGGTTGGTTTCCGAACGTTTTGTTTCCAGGCTAAGTAATATCTTCAGAGGAGTTTAGGGGATGTTCTTCTGTTTGTAAGGGCTTCAGGTGTCAAGTAAGGGTCTTGTGATGGGTCAACTATGACAAGGAGATTACTTCAAGTCAGGGTCATTGGGAGGTGATTCCTAAACTCTGCTGAAAATGTTACCTAGCCTGGTAACAAAACATTCAGAAACCAACCTAGAGGACAAACTTTCACCCTCATCCTCCACCCGAGCTACAGATATTCGCCACTATTGCAATCCACTATTTTTGTTCCCGAGTATGAAAAACATCAAATTTGTTGTCAGTGTGCAGCCATTTATTTTGTTCTTTATTTTTTTTTAAAGAAAAGAAGCTTAAATGTATATTTAAATAAACCTTATAATTTAGAAACTGGTATGCAGTATCAGAACTTGAAATAAACCTTAGAATTTTGATATGTGATACCAAAACTTGCTAATTGCTATGTTAAGTATCTCCCTCCTTTTCTTTAAAGATTTTTGTAAATACTTTTTTTAAAGGTACTAAATTAGGCTCACCTTACCATGCTGCCTGTAGGAATTGATTGTGTACTACTGAATAGAGCAATTTGCTAAACTCTGTTTTAAAAATCCACCAGCGGAGCGTGTCTGATAATACCCTCGTTGCCATGGACTTTTCGGGGTGTACAGGGCGAGTGATTGAAAACCCCAATGAGGCACTGACTGTAGCTCTGGAGGAAGCTCGGGCATGGAGGGTAAATCTTCTATTTATTTCTTACTTAGGAATTTCAGGGACATTAATACAGAAATGTTACAGAAAGAGAGCTGGGTTAATCTATGGTGTCAACAGATTAACAGGGTTCACATATTATATTTAATCATAAACTTGGAATAGCAAAACCCAGTTACTGTGATATTATAACATGCCCACAAAGTTAAAATCTATTAAGACTTACCAAAGTCTTACTCAGACTTTATTCAACGTGTTAAGAAAATAGCACAGTTTCTATGATACGTTCGCCCAAAGCCCACTGTATTTCAGTGCAGCTAAACTGTGAGTGTACTGTATGTGTAACTGTGTGTGAATAAATTCAAAGTGTCTTTAGGAAATGAAATGTCTCATAAGAGCTGAATCCATTTGTGAGGCCAGCAAAGGAATTAAGAGTTTAGGGCAAATGGCAAGGATGTGCAGAGTTGAAGCCTAAAAGCCTGACATTGGAATGTCTTGGAGCTTGATCTAGTAGTTAAACAAAGCAATTCTTGTATTAACAAGGATTTTAAATACGATCAGGCTCGCATTCTTATTAGCCTGAACCAAATACACAGTAATGTTCATTAGTTGTTTAAAATTCCTGTTGGTTTGTTTGTTTTTATATGATTTATATAGATGCTCATCTCACATAGATGAGTCTAAGTGATGTACAAGGATGAAAAGCAGAAATTCACAGAGCTCATAAATAAAACAATGGCCCCACTTACACCCCTCCCCCCCCCCAAAAAAGCCTACATGGACAACAGCACAACTCAGCTAACCTCCAGTCCTAAACACCTCTATTTATTATTTCCCTTCTTATTTCTGTTTCTCTTTATGCCAAGCAACAAAAGTCCAATACTGATATTCCTGAACACATTTATTGCTTTGATGAAACAAGAACATGATTAGACAAGTAAATCTGAATTAATTTAAGGCAACTCAAAAATTAAGTCATTTATTATACTATCTGGCTTCTGTGAAACCCAGCAGCTTTGTCAGATGAATATGATGAAACCAACCCATCTCCAGGGAAGTTTACAGTCCAATCTCAATGTTTACTCTGAAGAAGCTCCAACTCTATATAGTAAATTTAGGACAGCAATTTTTGTAAATGTTTGTATAGTTGCTCACTGGAATTGGTCAAAAAGTATATGGCAATTAGTCAGGACAATTACTGATATCGTTGTCTGATATGATGGCAATTTAAAACACTTGAACAACCTCTGGTGTTCTTTTTTCTATGCTGCAGAAGAAGACATCTCAGCGATACAGCCTTCCCACTGCATTCCAGAGCTGTCCATTCGGTGCTGGTGAGTGCCTGCCCCAAGGATATGATATGTAGCCATGTTGCATATGTGCAACATTAGCCGAATACCTGATTGATGTTGTTGGTAGCAAATTAAGGGATGAATGAAGGCGAGTGGTTGATCAGGGGGAAATAATGCTTTTTCTTACAGCATTTGCTGTAGTGTTCATCTAAACTCGCAATACAATCAGCATGACTTTTTTTTTAAAATGGAATTCCAGTCCACTCTCTTGGAACATAGTAGGCAGGATGAGGTTGAATTACAGATGTATTCATCTGAATTGTTTAACTGAAGCACAGTTGAACTGTTTCAGTATTTGATTATTGTACTGGGGTACATAAAATCATAAGTCAGGACAACAATAAAGTGCTTCTGAGAGTACACTAATTGTCCTTCCCTACTTGTCCCTAGTAGCAAAATAGCTAAAGCAGCTTACTATTCCAAATTAGCATAGAATACTTACATTTATGTTATTAATATATTCCTTTCAGCAACTTATGACAAAATGGGAAGGTGTCTTAGAAATACTATCCAACATTATTTTGTACAACTTCTTCATAGGGAAATCTGCCGTACCATAATAGTCCCATATATAAGAAAATCACAAGTGTGATAGATAGTTTTTACAATCTATTTACTTGCAGATAAAGACTGAAAGTTGTGAAATGTTGGTTGACAGCATTGCAGATAACATGAAGGAAGAATGGAAATGAAGAGAGGTAGAAATGAAAGAATTTCCCATTAATTAAACTTCAATTTAATGTAATTGGATTTCTTACTGATTATATTAATTCCTGACAGATTATTGATTAATTATTATTCCCTGTTTGTCAGCTTCAATTTATTCTCAGCAGCTCAACATTTACAGGGTGAAAAATGGATCCTTCAATCATGATCTTTAATTCTCTTCACTGTAGAAGTTAATGTTTACATCTGAAGCTCTTTGTGAATATTTTTAATGCTTTGCTTCTCAAATAAATTTCTTTCTTTCTTTTTTCATTTTCCTTTTTCTCTTTTTCTTTTCTTCCTTCCTTCCAGCCATCCACAAAATGCAACCCTGGTTCCATGGTCATATTTCTAGAGAAGACACCCAGCGACTTATAATTCAACAAGGAGTTGTGGATGGGTATGTTGCTTGAGTAACATTCTAGTTCATAATATTAATTTTACTACTATATTCTGATATGGAGCTGTAGAAATTGGCCAGTATGGAGAGGGATATTGATGTACACCTCATAAGAATATTGTAAGAGAGTAGAACAAAGTATTTCTTCATCTGGGAGAGGCAAGCAAGGACAATTAGCAGTCACTTTTCTTCACCTTCATAACCACCAGAAGTTTTGTTAGGCTTTGACTTTCAAAGAAAAAGAATCACCATCTATCCAAATACTTGGCTGTTGCATCTCCCAACTCTGCAGATAAATTCATTCTAGCAGCTTTCTATAATATGGCCCTTCTATAATATGGGTTAGGACATTTGCAACTTTCAGATCTGCAATCTGTAGACATCTGAAAGAGTCTAGTTAGTATGAAAAAAGACAAATTATTCAAAGATGTATAATTTGCAAGCATTGCAGTAGAATAAATTGGAACAGTGAACGGGGAGTAGCCATGATTACTGGGTGATGAAAACTAACCTTTCTTTGGGGTCTGATCAACTGCAGGTTATTCCTGGTGCGTGAAAGTCAGAGGAATCCCAAGGGCTTTGTCTTGTCCCTTAGTCATACGCAAAAAGTGAAGCACTATCTGATACTTCCGGTAAGTGAACAAATGAAACTGGCTGAGCTGCTTTCATCCATCCAACCTAGTTTGGTGTCTAAATGCAAAGCAGGATTTTTTCTTGGTTTCCTACCTAAATTAATATTGCTTCAGTATCCTAGGGGTTATATTTAAATGTTCTGCATGTATTGTTCTGTTGTACTTTACCTTCTACAAAACATGGGGTAGAGCACTTCTATCTGAGATTAATTCCTGAAATAGAGCCTGATACCACATTCTACTTCTTCTGTTCTCTTTTGCCTCTATTTCTATGCCAGTGTTTTCTAATTCTTTATGCTTTTCAGTGTGAAGAAGAAGGACGCCTCTACTATACCATGGATGATGGCCAGACGCGTTTTGCTGACTTGATTCAGCTAGTGGAATTTCACCAAATTAATCGTGGCATCCTGCCTTGCAAGCTGAAGCACTATTGCACGTGTGTTGCCTTATGATTGACTGTCACCCATTGGCCATTCCTGGGCCCTGAATTACCATTGGCTAAGGCTTATATGTAGGTCTTTTTGAAATGCATACATCAGGACCTACTTCAGACTTTCAACTTCTCTTGTCCCCTTGCCTTCAGCCACTCCTACAAGAAACCAAGTAAAGAACAGTATTTGAAATTTCCCATGGGGCTATTCATCAGTAAGCCATCAGATTTTTTTTTTTTTTTTCAGAATCAAAGAAGGATTTCAGGTCACAGTATAGTAGTTTAGTTTGGAAACAGTCACAACGTTGTTGGCTGGTGTCTTTATTTTTCCATATGATTTTTTTTTACCTCTTCAGTGCCCTTCTATATGTATGTTTTAATACAGATTTTGTTTTGTCACCATGTTACAGAAAATTTGCAGTGTTGATTATTTAATGTTTCTAATAAGATTACCAATTTCCAATAGCCTGGTCCAGCATGTATGCCAGACTTATGCATTGTTTCAAAACCCTAACTGACTAGGAACAATAGTAGGATATTAGACCTGATTCTTATTGCAAATCAATACAGATATACAAAAGTCTTATTAACTCTCTTAAGAACTATTGTCTGGTTCTTTCCAAGATTCTATGGGTGCTGTCACCTTTGTTAGAAAAAGAGTTTTTTTTTATTGTTCAATCTCTTCCCTGGTACCTAGTAGCATCACAGTTTATGAAAGTAAATGCAACCTGTTCAAGGGATGGGCTACAATGTTATGAGGATCCAATAAGAGTCTTTGAGGCTGTCCTGAAAGAATCCACAGCAAGAAGGCTCACATGAAGTCCAAAGACTGCTCTGAAATTTTTTGAGACTGTCGGATCTAAGAACAGTGGGCTGCCTGGTAGGCAGAATCACCTTGGCCTTTGGAGAATCACAAAACCCATGAATTCTTCTAATTGCGAGTCTTATTGCAGAGCAAAGATTGAAAGGTTTTTTTTGGTTAAGTTTAGTTAATGTGACAGATGAGAGATTTAGGTTTGAAGAGTTGTTTCCCCCCCCACCCCTTGTATTAAGGGCTTAAAATATTGTGGGAGGGAGAAGGGCTGATGCCAGAAGGCTGTGACATTCTTATTTCTGCTACTTTTTGAGGCCAGTATATACTGTGATCTTTTTTGTTTGTATATGTAAATACTGGTAATAAATCTTATTTTTTATGATACCTCATGTTGGTTTTCTGTTCAAGTCAAGTTGTGAAACAAGTAAGTAATTGCAACCTTTGCAATCAATGTTACCTTATAGAATCTTTTTTAAAAAAATCTCCATATCTAAGGCACCAGATTTCTAATTTCTAATTCAATATAAATGTATTTCATCCTCATGTTTTCCTATCCTAAACACTGTCTGCAGCAGGAATGATAGAGAAATAGATAACAGATATCAAATAACACATAATCAGAGTTGGAAGGGACACTTCCTTCTTTGCCATTTTTAAAAATTTGACTGCCCAGGATATTTCCAGATGCCTTGGAGAGACGAGAGCTAAATAATATTTGCAAAAGCATCCAGTATGTATCCCTTGAAAAATTATTGTATCAGGAAAAAAAGATCACTAAGTTCCAGATTAGTTTTGATGATTCTATGATATTTTGTCTACAAACAAACCAAGCTGGGTAATGTGCCTTACAAAGGTTATTGGGAAATGCCATTTTCTTTTTTCCAAATACTTTGCCAAGTCTCATGGTTTTGTTTATGCATCACGAGTGGCTGATCCTGGAACTAATTAGATGGGATTTGTATGCAAATCCATTTGGAATTTAACAAAATTCAGGAGATTAAGAGTTTACATTTTAGCCAATTAGGTCTTAAGCTGGCCTTTTTAAAGCCCTTTGAACCCTTTGGAGAAGATGTAAGGGCACAAAGTTTTTAGGAAGTTCAAGTCTTTTCAAAATATTTTTAAAAGTCCCCTTTGGGAGTTTACATCTCTCTCCTATGCATAGGGCACTATGTCTCCCAAAATTGTACTGATAACAGGTTGTTCATCCGGCATTGGGCTGGCTTTGGCTGCTAAACTAGCAAAAGATAAGCAGAGGAGGTTCAAAGGTGAGTTTTCAAAATTGTGAATTTGTGTGTGTGTGTGCGTGTGTGTGCCTAAATAGTGTACAAGAAAGCCATGGATAACTAAGTTCATTAAGTTTATATATATATATATATATATATATATATATATATATATATATATATGTGTGTGTGTGTGTGTGTGTGTGTGTGTGTGTGTGTGTGTGTGTGTATATAAACATATATATATGTTTATATATATTCTCCAATATTACTTTACTTACTCAAAGGCATTCATGAGGAACAAAATGGTATAAGCAGTTGACTTTTTCAATTATTTTCTGCTTTTAACAGGTATAATATATACCATTATCATCCTGTATCCCACTTGCATGCTAACTTCCAACCTCCTGTCTTATTATAATTCTATTTATTTATCTGTCTATGTATCTCTCTATCTTTCAATTATTCTGCAATTAAATAAAAAGCTGGTATGCTATAAAGCAACACAAAGGAAATAAACACAAAGGAAATACAAGCCAAAGTAAACTATTTCCATCAATGCCTCTCACATCTTTAAAATACTTAAAGCATTCTTAGAAAACAAAATGTTGAGTATTGCAGCTGAGAATTTCATTTGCCTTCCAAAATATGAGTGTTATGTGAATCGTTACCGCTTTTTCGACAATCATTTTGCAAGCAAGCTTAAAACAAGCTCTCTTTATTCCAACATTGTCTATTATCCCTAAATGTTGGGTAACCTTGTTATATATAATGATTATATGGATGATAAGTTAGTAACTGTTCACAAAAAATGGTTAAACAGGCCAGTTACAGATATAACAAAAGTATTTGAACAAAATCTTACATATAGTTACTGATACCAGCTTAGTTTTGATAAATATGTTTGGTTGTTAGGAGTTCTGTGTATTATACTAATCCAGAATACTACCTAACCTTGAATTGTATAAAATAAAAGCAGGATATAAATGTAATTAATACAAGAATTCAGTAATCAGATTAAAGTGTGTGTGTGTGTGTGTAGATTTAAGAGAATTTATTTGGTAGTGGGAGCAAATACAATTTCTCTATCAAATAGATTGATGAATTACACAATATAATGCTAAATGGGGACTTAAATTTTATAAGAATATGTTAAAAAGTGCACAGTACTGAGTAGCAACCTCACTTTTAAAAAAGTTTCAGTTGCCTGGTCCATCTCTATAAATTGTTATATATTTGTTCAGGATAGGCATGCTCTGTTGTGGTAAATGTTGAAGCACCATTTCAGATAACTATTAAAGGGCAAAATTGTGAAAATATTAATATTGAGATGAAATTTAGCTATAGTTAAATCCCTTTTCTTGTTTGGCCTCTACATTTCATTGCCAGAAAGGATAAATGTTTAAAATATGTTTGTATTACTGGTGTTTCACTGCAATATATGTTTATATTACTGGTGTTGGACAAACAGAATAATGAGCATTCTAATGTCACATAACACCAATTTTAGAAGTTATGGTCTCTTGGAACCTTTCCTTATCTATCTAGTGCAAATTTTGAATTCTCGCTTTTGCTAGTTTTACCTTTCTTAACAACTATTAGTATAAGGAATAATTTCTTCATTTAGTGACTCTGCATGGACATTCTGTAGTTCCATTTAATTGTTTGCATAAGTTGCCAGCTTATTTAACGTACAAATGTTTTTGAGATATACAAAAACTACAGTTTGTAGACTTGTCCTCTTAAGGATCAAAATCATTTATGACAAAAGTGGGATCTATGAATTTCTACTGTGCAAGTTTGAAAATTTGTTTGCCCCAATTTATTTTGCCTCAGAATTCCTGCTTAATCAAAAGCTGTTGATTTTTGCTACTGTTTTCTTTTACTGTTCCAGTTTTAAATACAAATGTCCACTGCATGATCTTCAAAACATTGATATCGTGGATCATAAAATAATACTTTGATATTTTGGGAGTAGCGTATTTGCTTGTGTTTAGGGTCATCAACTGGTAAAAATAAAACATTCAAGTCTTTACTTGGGCCTTTAGTAGTATTGATATAATGCAACCAACAACCGGTTTTTACAAATCAATATTAATATTCTCCAAGGCAGGCTTTTATATATTTGATTTTTATCTCACCTTTATTACTTCATAAGTAATTCAGGGTTGCGATCATAAACAATACTCCTTTCCCCTCCTATTTTCCCCACAACAGCAACTATGAAAAGTAGGTTAGACTGACAGAGTGAAGGCCCAAAGTCACCCACCTGACTTTCATGCCTAAAATGGGATTAGAACTCACAATCTCCTGATTTATTAGCCAGCACCTTGTGGGGCACACACCTGGATACTATTACATTAAGAAAAGTTATACTTGAAGAACCTTGAGATTGTTATATAACCTAGCTGGCCATATAGTCTTGTACCATCCTGATCCTGATCACGGAGAGACTTTTCTTCCCTTCTTGCCCATGCCAAATGTTAGTGGACTTACACCCAAAGCTAACAATCATATTGCAAAGGGTGAGTTCTGTATCAGCATTTTCAAAGACATAATACACTGTGTTCCATGCTGTAACTTCCAATGTTTAACAAATGCCAACTCGACTGTAGAAATTTGCTTCAAAGAAAATAGATTCAGTGTGAGGTGAGAGTCTGTTTCACTTTTGTGAACACATGCCTCAAGAACACATTTGTGCTTCCAAAAGCTCGGGTACTAAGAAATTATTACTGAATAGTCTGGAAATACGTTAAAATACATAAATACAAAGTAAATGTGTACTGTAAAGCAGACCTGAAGATACCAGGTTGAGAAAAATTATGAGAAGAGCTCATCAAAAGCAACATTACAAGACCAGTTGGTAAAATTACTAACGTATTATGTAACTTGATGTTTACCTAATATGCATATATTTATACAATTGACAGCATTATTTATTATTGGGTATATACTTTTTAAAAAATTGACCATTTGAAATAAAATAGGAAATAATCCACTCCTAAATTTGGCCAGTCAAGTTGAAAAGAATATATGACCAAGCATCACCTGTCTTCTAGTTTTTGCCACAATGAGGAACATTACCAAGAAAGAAAAGCTGGAAGCAGCCATAGGGCTAGCACTCAACCAGACTCTAGAGATCAAACAGTTGGATGTCTGCGATGAAAAATCCATCCAGAACTGCATTAACAGCATTCCTCAGAGACATATTGATATCCTCAGTAAGTACCCAAAGAATTGCAGCTTTATCAGCCTTCTGGGGGACATAACAATAAACTCCATCAATCCGTGTGTGTGTGTTGTCTGCATGAATCTGACTCAGTTAAGCAGATACCTCCACGACTAGAGAAGAGGCATTCCTGTAGCAGCCTCAACAAGAAAATATGAATTGGCAGATGCCAGCCCCTGAGTATTAATCACTAAGATCATGAATAAGGCAGAGATGTCATAGATCATTCATAGAACAACATATTTTTCTGGAGCAGTGGAGAATACTCCTTTAAAACTGCCACAGTTAATCATAAACATAAGTTTATCCTCCATAATCATAATCAGTTTAAGGCAAACACTACATCATGATGATATATCTCGATAGAAGAGAACATCTGTAGCTCAGGGTTGAACCTTGGGTCCTTGGTACTGTTTGGGATTGGTTTTTTGTTTTTTTTTTGCAGATGTTTCATTACCAGACTAAGTAACACATCAGTAGGGAATGTCATGTCTTTTAAAAACGGCTAATGGAATATTTCAGCTACATTTAGTGGTCACTTGGAAGAGCTTTTTCTCTAATAACACATACTAAAGGCCAAGATTTATTTTAAAAAGGCAAAGGAAACACAAGGCAAGAGTTATACATCACGTTACTTGAACTGAGATGACAATGCCATTGGGAAATATTACAGTAGGATGTAGTGTGAAAAATGAAGGCATGTATTGTGAATGACTGATTATACTGAGCTCAATTTCTGGATGAGATTAAAGTCTAAAAGAATTCATTGTTTTGTAATCAGGTGCCACATTTTGGGAAGGGCCAGAATGCCTAGGACTGCACAAAACAAATCAAGGACATATTGATGTTACTGAAATAAAGATGTACTTCCTTGGAGGGTGGGCCTTCCCCAGAATTTGGAGTTTAACTGTTTGCTTGTTGAACTTATACAAAAATTTCTATACTGGTTTTCATTCTATCCCACCATGCACATAAGTCATGCGCATAAAGTCTGCTTTCACATATAATCCAGTTTTTCACCATTATTGAATAACCAATCAGTTGCCAGGTATTCAGACACTGTGCTTTGAACGTATTGTTGAACATTTGGTTAATGTTTGCTGCAAGCAGCAAGAGTCTTCTTTGGTGATGACCATTATTAATCCTTAGAATAGAATATAGAATAACAGAGTTGAAAGGTGGTCCTCTAATCAGGGGTGGGATTCAAATTTTTTAACAACCAATTCTGTGGGCATAGCTAGGTAGGCGTGGCTAGGTGGGCATGGCCATGTGACTGGGTGGGCATGGCTTCTCCTTTTTTACAGCACCCCACCCCCGCACACATTTATTTTTTTTTGCCTTCTGGGCCACAGGGGATCCTCCTGGGGAGGGGGTGTTTTTGCTCCCAGAACGCTTCCTTGGGGCTCAGGAAGGAAAAAAATGGAGGTCTGGGGAGGGCATGCAGCATCCCCCCTGCACTCCATTTTTGAGCCTCCCGGGCCTCAGGGGAGCTTCCTCGGGGGGGGGGTGTTTTTGCTCCCAGAAGGCTTCCCTGGGGCAAAGGCAAATAATAGAATGCGGGGGAGCACAACTCTCCCCCAGTCCCCCTTTGCCTCCTGGGCCTCGGGGAAGCCGCCTAGACAAAGCAGTAAGTAAGACAGCAAGTGGGATCCCGGCACAGCTGATCATCAGAACAGCTGATCATCATGAAGGGGGAAAAGAAATACCTTAAGGAGTTACTGGGTGGGGGAGAATGCAGTCAGCGATATCGGGCTTGGCCATGATGTCGCACATGTGCGATAAGGACTGACTGGGCATGGAGAGGTGGGGAGGGGCAAGCCAGGGGCACGATTTGCTGGTTCTCTCAACTGCGCAGAATCGTAACAACCGTTTCTATAGAACCAGTCCGAACTGGTAGAATCCCACCCCTGCTTCTAATTCAACCCCCTGCTTAGGCAGTAAACCCTATACCATTTCAGACAAATGGTTATCCAATATTTTCTTTAAAATTTCCAGTGTTGGAACACTTGCAACTTTTGGAGACAAGTTGTTCCACTGATTAACTGTTCTAACTGTCAGGAAATTTCTCATTAGTTCTAGGTTGCTTCTCTCCTTGATTAGTTTCCACCCATTGCTTCTTGTCCTGCCCTCAGGTGCTTTGGAGAATAGCTTGACTCCCTCTTCTTTGTGGCAGCCCCTTAAATATTGGAACACTGCTATCATGTCTCCCGTAGTCCTTCTTTTCATTAGACTAGACATATCCAGTTCCTGCAACCGTTCTCTATATGTTTTAGCCTTCAGTCCCTTAATCCTCTGGTCTCTAGATATCTGATTAGCTGGAAAAGTTAATGGTAGGCATATTTTCTGACTCAACGCTTTGGATATCCAAGTGGCAAACCTTCAAGGTTCAATAATGTCATTTTCAGTTGACTTTCCATTTAGTGCTTTATCATGTTGTGTGGTGAGTGGTAAAACAATCAAAATTCTTAACTATTACTTATAGTCAACAATGCTGGGCTGGGCTCCATTGGTCCTATTGAGTGTCAATCAATTGAAGAGATGAAGGCTATAATGGAAACCAACTTCTTTGGTGTAGTAAGGATGATTAAAGAGGTCTTGCCAGACATGAAGAAAAGGAGGAGTGGGCACATTGTGGTCATCAGTAGTGTCCTGGGTTTGCAAGGTAAGCTGACTTTAATTTATCTACATTGTCCAAACAGTAGTCAACTCGGGAGCAGCAGATGGAGCATTTCATTTAAATGCATATCTTTTAGGACAATCTTTCTTGCCCAACATGATACTCTTCAGGTATATTATACCACAACTATGAGCATGAGAAAAAAAAACTGTGGGAAGTTTCCTCTAAGACATCTGGAGGATCCATGGTTTGAAAATAGTGTGATTGAATAAAATAACTTCCAAATTATCTACCAAATTTCATAAGAATTTAAAATCATGTATGAGGTAGAGATATCATGGATCATTCATGCACCAAGATTTGTACATTTACAAAATAAATACTCTGTACATATAATCCTGTCTGTATAGATCCACTTGTGTTTCCATAATGCTAGTTTGGGACAAACCTTACAGATATTTTGATTGGTATATCATAGTATATAAATAAGATAACAAGTAGTAATGTTTAACCTATTTGAAAAGTAATAAATATATCAAAATCGGAGTGAACAAAAACCTTTGTTGTAAAAGCAATTTTGCTTTCAACTTCATATTTAGTTTTTTCAAATGTTCTTTTGGTTCCTCAAATGCATGCACTAAGTTTCAGGCATCCAAATGAACAAAAATTTGCTCATTGATCATGGTTCTAAAATTAACAATAAAAATAAAACCAATACCAAGGACTGGTTGGATTTTCATAATATATCACATTAGAGTTTGATAGTATCTGATAGTATCTGGTTCAACATGTTATAGGAACCTATCCATTATCTTGTCCTGTTGACAGCCAAGATAATCTATTATCCCAGAAATTGGTTATTTTCCCTGGGTTAGAAAAAATATCTTCCCATTGAAGGGCTGCAAGTAACACCATTAGAGGGATAGAAGCAAAGTTTCTAGCTAGTGTAGGCAATCAATTATTTGCGTTAAGTATCGAACTTCAGAGTTTAGTGTCGGTGGCTTAGACAACAAAATTCTTGATATTTTGCTGGCAACTGTGGATTGGCATCTTCAGAGACAAGATGGCCCAATGCTTCTACTTTTAAAATACATTTGTTTTAACTTTGGAGAAAGAAAATGGGAAAAGAAAAGCTGTGGGAAGTTATTCGTTTCAATTTTCTCCCGGAAAACCCCTTCAACAGCAGAGAGAGGGGGGGGAGAGAGGGAGGGAGGGAGGGAGAGAGAGAGAGGGACGGAGGGAGAGAGGGGGGGGGGGAGGGAGAGAGGGAGGGAGGGAGAGAGAGAGAGAGAGGCTAAATTCCTGCTGGTCATTTCTGATTAACAAAATATAGAGATAAGGTCATGACTGCATCGCCATAATTAGGGAGCATGCATAAGCGCACCAACGTACCTACCGTCCCTGTCCTATTGTTTCTTTTTATTTTTCTTATATGTAACCATTTCATGTATTCATAACTATGTTTATACTTATACCTGTTATCTTATAATCACTTGACAAATAAAATAAATAAAATAAAATGATCTATTATATTTTGTCTTCTAGGCATCATTTTCAACGACATCTATGCTGCGTCCAAATTTGCCATTGAAGGCTTCTGTGAAAGCCTTATCATCCAAGCTCTCAGATTTAATATCTTGTGAGTGGGTGATAGTGATGATGCTAATAAACTTCCCTCCCATTAGACTATAATCAGATTTGCCATGTCCTTATTTCTGTAAGGTTTTAATGAATGGAATACAAATAAAAATTCAAGAAAAGCAGTTGCATTCATTGGAATAGTCTAGCAAAAGGCTTAGATTTTGATCTTTAGCAGAAAAAAGTGGCAATATGTGGAAAAGGTTTGTTCTGTTAACTGAATATCACATAGCTCCTGATCAGATAAAATTGCTATGAATAGTTCAGAGTTAACCTCTATACAGATAGCCCTTGACTTACTAGAGTTCGTTTAGTGACCATTTGAAGTTACAATGGCAATGAAAAAAAGTGATTTATGACCGTTTTTCATATGACCATTGCAGCATCCCCATGGTCACCTGATCAAAATTTGAATGCTTGGCAACTGGCATGTTTATATGACGGTTGTGATCTTCTGATAAGCTGTCAATAGGGAACCAGATTCACTTAACAACCATGTTACTAACTTAACAACTGCAGTGATTCATTTAACAGCTATGGAAAAAATGTCATAAAATGGAGCAAAACTCACTTAAAACTCATTCGCTTAGCAACAGAAATTTTGGACTCAATTACCTGTATAGGCTTTTGGAATCTGTTCCTCTTCTGATCAGTTAAAAGTGTATTTGCTCAATACTTCAGCTATGAAAATTCAGAGTGTTAAGTAGAAGAAAGCTGCTTTAGCATCTTTACACATTTTGATTAAAAGCTGTTTCCACAGGGATGTTACTAATCTGAAACAGTTTTCCTTGTCCTGGTGTCCTCCAAATTAGTGAGCCAATAAAATAGTACTTTGGAATTCTGTGAATTGTAAGTTCAGCATTTCTTGAGACTTGAAGAAGGTAACTCAACATTTTCTTAATAAATCAATGCAAACAACTTTCACTCTTTTCTTGGGAAGCTTACCTGATTAGTTCCAGTTTCCAGTATGAATTCCGACCAGTATAAACGCTAGATCTGATTATTGAATAGATTTATGCATCTCATTCTATGATTTTTAAGATGATTAAGTACCAATGAACATGACTAATTCACAAAATTTAAAAACTGGAGGAAACTGAAATTTTGTAGCCAATGTCCTCAGAATAGGACTGCTGGTGGTATCTTCTAAAAACTCATTTCTGTTATGATTTTTCATGGTTTATTTGTAGTGTTAGCTTGATAGAGCCTGGTCCAGTGGTGACTGAGTTTGAGATGAAAATCTATGAAGATGCAGAGAAAGCTGACTATTCCCAGACAGATCCCGAGACTGCTGAAATATTTTCTCAGATTTATCTCAAAAATTCCAAAGCTATCTTCTCCAGCCTGAGTCAAACACCTGAAGATGTAACTGAGGTGATAATATCCTCTAATTTGGGGTTTGATACTGTAGAATCAAGAGGTTCATAGATGCCCCGTGATCTCACCACACTAGCTACGCTCCCTGTATCCTGCCTCCTGTCCATTTACCGTTTCTATAAGAATGTGTGTGAAAGGAGGTTGTTTACATGTAACTTTTAATGCATTCATATAATATTGATAAATGAGGTATGCTCTTCTCTGACACCTGATACCCTTGCTAAGATGTACATCTCATTCACTTTCATTGAGAGAAATCATCCTTTTGTTTCCTAAAGTTGACTTTTAAAATTATACTCACATGAATGTCTTCTGATTCCCTTGGCAGCATATCCTAAAGGTCATTTGTATGGCCAGGCCGCCCTTCCGTCACCAGACTAATGCCATGTATACCCCCATGATGGCTCTCAAGCAAGCGGATTCCACTGGGGCCCTGATGACAGACTCGTTCTATAAATTGATCTTCAGATACAACAACCTTTTGCGCATTAGCCTAAGAGCCATCCAGCTCCTCCGCTGGCAAGCACGCAAAGTGAAACAAGGTGCCCGATTGCTGGGCTTCAGATGAAGATCTTCGTGATGGTAGCCCAAACTTCACAGTCAACAAGACAGTTAGGGGTAATTGCATGGAAACTCTTCAAGTGATTGCTTAATGTATTAGTTTTGAACTATTGAACTTACAATTTATGTTTGTTAAACTCTCTTAACTCCCAATTCTTGCTTTATTTGCACTGTGGCATTGTTAATTGCAATGTGTATATAATTATTTGCAAAACAAAAAAAAAGAACAGAGCAAAGAGATAAAACAAAGAAGCATCAATAAGAATCCCCCAACAGAAAAGCAATTTACAAACACAAGAACCATAGCAGGAAAAAAAGTCACAACTGGGAATTTGCCAAAGTGATAAATTCACAAGTATAGACACTAGGGATGGGATCCAACTGGTGTAACTACCGGTTCTATGATTTACGTTTTGCTGCGTGTGTGTGTGAAACGTTGTCATCTTGCAGCCTGGACAGCTGAGCAGCGCTGTGCGCGGGTGCGCAGCATTTGAAAAAGCTCCTTTTTCCTGCTTTTTCAATCGCAGCTGTGTCGCACAAAGCAGCTGAGGTTGAAAAAGCAGGAAATAAAGGTCAGGTAAGAGCCCGTGTGGGCAGGTGGGCCAAAACAGCAGCAGACATAGAACTGGTTCTATGTCTGCTGCTTTTCAGAGTTACCAGTTCTATAGAGCCAGACAGAACCAGTAGAATCCCATTCCTGTTGTACATGGCATACACACTTAACAATCTTAAGGAGAGAAAAAGTAAGCATCCATTTTCAATATTTCTGACAAGAATGATATATTACAACAATTATTAATATACCTTGCAAATGGTAAATAAATTTGATTAATTTTTCCTGCTTTTAAAACAATTTTGGAGCTTTTCTATACTAGTAATTTTACAGAAATACAGTCTACATTTTAAAACACTATTGATAAAATAATAGAGATATTTTACTTTTCCAATATATTGCAATAGTCAAATGAATTGGTAACCATAAAAATTGAATCAATTCATTTTGTTGTAAAACAATTTCAGAATTCTCTATTAATGACTTCAAGTAATTTTCTTGGTTTCTTTAAAAACCTCTGACCAAAAGTTGATAATATACACCAATTCATTTACACCCCAGATAACACAATCTGTTATATTTCTATCCTACAGAATTCATGCTCTGCTAATGGCAAATTAATTTGGAACTGAGTATTGCTTATATGGTGCAGAGTATTAGAAGATCAGCTGGGTCTTCTTTTGTTGCCCTGCAGAACAGAGAACAGATCTGGAAAGCAAGTTAGTGGGGTGGGGAGAGATTAGGATTTTGCAGTATTCTTCCCCTAGCCACGCCCACCAAGCCATGCCCATAGAACCAGTAGTAAAAAAAATTTAATCCCACCACTGGTTATTATATTGGAAACAGTTTTGCATCACCAGTAACATTACATAACCTGGATAAAGAGGGAGCACAAACAGAACTGTTTTGTTTGTAAATTATAATCATCAGAACCACCCTCCATAACTGTTATTTATGATAAAAGATGGGGGTTCAAAAAGGGCCATTTTAGATACCCTGGATTTCCAGACAAAGATGGTAGAAATTCTTAAACAAGAGCTCACAACTCATCACACACTTGAGTTGGCAAAGACTTGAGTTGCAATTTCAGATGCCCTTGTCATTATGTGTGGTTTTGTTCCACTGAGTTTATAGTGGAAATCAGGCCGGTCTAATTCCTTTTCAATTAGAATGCTTTGTTCTATGTGACAATGCCCAGATGTACTACAATTTGCTACCCCACTGCATTTTGGGCTAATAACACACTGAAAAAAAAATATATTTCCTCTAGCTAGGTTTCTGCATCAAGGGCAGTTTAGATGCCTTTTTTAATCTAATGGAGTTCAGCTATACCTTTTCCCATCAACCTGCTTGTCACAATCCTTTCAAGATCCATAGGGATTTGCCCAACCATACTTTTACTAATTTCTTGAGGCTTTGGCTCTTATGGTTTACTCAGCTGTTATATTGTCTCTCCAAGATCATCTTTTAAAACATTATGAAAATAGTTTGCTTTTAACTCTGCTGATCACTCCTTGGAGTTTCTCTTCATATTGCCAGACCTTTTGTATCAATATCCACAGGTCTCATTCATCACGTCATTGAAGATAGTATTTTTTTTAAAACTTTCAGGCTTTTTTTTAATTTTGAAAGTTAAAACACAAATTCCCCTAAAGTAAGAAATTTTACAAAAACAAAACAAAAGTAGGCAAAATGTTAAGGAAGATATGGTATTTTTAATATGCTCACTTAGCACCAAATGTAAGGACTTTGCAATGGGCTGCATCTTTATTATCTTTTAATAGGGATAAAGGGGTCTTTTGCCAGAAATCTCTATTAACTTTGATTCCATTTAATTATATTAACATTATACTGCACCCCCCCCGCCCCAGTTCTTTGACAAAATGGATGTCCAGAGAATCCTTGACTTTTTCTTGCATCAAATGGCTTCACTTTATAAACTCCAACATCTAATCTGGACTTTTCAAACCCCTAATTCAAAAGGTATGGGCCTTTCCCTAACTATTTTCTAATTGGATCCTAGTAAGCTTTGTTATATGCAACAAATAAAGTGTATATGCAAGCAACTTATTAAGCTGTTGAATATTTTTCCTGATACTCTTTGCTAGTACTTTAATAATGAGATCAAACAAAGTGAGATAATTTAGTAATCCTATTTATTTTAAAAGTTTTTTTCCTGAATCCTCTGTTTTTAATTACTGCTTTTGTGAGTAAATATAACTGATTAATAATAAAATCAACTAATTTTCTGATCCAGTTTTTAAATTTTACTTTGTGCTCCTACAAAAGCTTTCAGAATATATAAAAACAATAATGATCAACATAGTGTATTGTAGTCAATATTTTTCTAATTGAAGCTATTTTATTTATTTTATTTTAAAAAATCAGGGTTGATCTGGGGAGATATAATTGTATAAGAACAGATTTCATTTTTGGACAATAATGTAGAGCTTTATTTTTAAGTTTTCATTTAATAATGCTTATACTATGACATTCAGTTAAGATATTGTTTCCAGGGAACCAGAATTTTCACTAACGGCTATCCATGTTTTTGGAAAAGAGATACCTCACAACCATGTATAAGTTGTTCTACTTCCCAAATAAAATTTTTGACTCTTTTGAAAACTTTTCTCATGCTGATTGTTCAACTTTTCCATTCTGGCAAATCTTTCTTTCTCGCAAGGATTTAAGCAATATTGCCTTCAATTTAGCTTGGTGATTTTCACATGTTTTTTTTGTTCTGCTTATTAACCATTTCAAAGGTTTTCACTCACATATGCACAGTATGGAAAAGAATTGTCACTTTTCACTCACATATGCACAGTATGGAAAAGAATTGTCACTTACTATTCGTTAGTAAGTGATTGTATAGTTCAATCTCTTATCTACCTCAAGTCACTACAAGATATATTCTGATGTTCTGTACTATGGTAGTTTCTTCCAGACATGTTAGGACTATAACTCTCAAATGTACCAAAACAGCATGGTTAAAAATGGAACTTCTAAGTGCTTGGGAAATTCAAGTTGGAGAAGGCTATAGCATTTGCTACTGGATTCATTTTCTCCAAGCATAATAGAAAGAATATAATAATAAACAACGAGAAATAAAGAAGAGATGAAAACTACGTCTAACCGGATGTTCTTCCAATGTGATGATTATGTTGCTTGGGGTTAATGAGAATTCTAGTCCAATAACCTAAAGATCAATATAACTGAATAGCTGTTTCCCTCTTTAAGTCATTGAGTTCATGGCACTAGTTCTACATAATTATCTGCATTATCCCTTATTCTATGTCCCACAGTAGCTTGTTAATTCATGCAAAATGTGTATCTTTATTCTAAAGCCTAGAAATTAAGAAAATTATATGCTGTGTAGTTTCTTTGATGCCTATTTATAGCAGTGGTGATGATCTATTAGGTATAAAAGTTGATAATGCAAGAAAAAGTGCACAATCTTTATTAACTTTAAGAGATTCTATCACAACTACAACATGAGAGGGAAAGTAATTTAATTAAATCTGATGAGATATAAGGTAAACTCATCTAATAAAACTAGGGCTTTGATAACTGGGCTGCAAAACACCAGATGACCACTAGATGGCAGCAAAGAGAGCTCTAAATATAATGTCTGTACATGGAATGAATTCCAGGCCCTCAATACTGAATACTTGGGTAAGTGGAGACACCTAATGGCCAATCTTGGTAACTTTTCATTCCTGATTACATTGTGTTAGCATATTGATTTAAAATATTTTGGTATGGTATTATACTTTATTTAATTTATTTGTATCCTACCTTTACTATATAATTTTTATCTATTGCTTTCAATATATGTTTCAAGATGTAGACACATATATACACATAAGCATTAGGATTTCTAGTACAGATAGTCTTTGACTTACAATAGTTTGTTTAGTGTCCATTCAAAGTTACAACAGCCCTGAAAAAAGTGACTTATGACCATTTTTCACACACAACCATTGCAGCAGCCCCATAATCACTTGATTAAAATTCAGATGCTTGGCAACTGACTCACATTTATGACAGTTGCAGTGTCCTAGGTCATGTGATCAGCTTTTGTGACCTTCTAAGATAAGCCAAGTCAATGGGGAAGGCAGATTCACTTAACAACAGAGTTACTAACTTAGCAACTGTAGTGATTCACTAAACAGCTGTGGCAAGGAAGGTTGTAAAATGGGGCAAAACTCACTTAATAAATGTCTCACTGAACAACAGAAATTTTGTTGTGCTCAGTTGTGGTCATAAGTTGAGGATTACCTGTTCTAGTTCTGAGAAGTCAAAGTGCAAATTAAAGATAGTGCAAATAGGGCAAATTGGAACTGTAAGCAACAGGAAACACTATTGGCTGTATTCACCGCAATCCGCTTATCCATCTACTAAAATTCCAAGGTCAAGTTATCATCCCAAAACTTCTGAAAGTTCTGCAACCAGAG